TTCCAGCAGTACAGTGGGACAGTAAAAGTATCCACATCAAAAGTTATAAAGCTGTTGCGAAATGGCATATCAATGAGTTTCAACGATATCAAAACTGTAGAGGATGTATTTCTTTCGGTAATTTTATGATAAATTTCTCTACTCTTCTTTTACTTCGGATTTCGTTTCTCTCTCTCTCTCTCTCACCTTTCCTTCCTCGTCGTTCGGTTCGTTCTGTTAATTTTCTCGTATACTTCCTCTATCACTCTCATCTCAGTTTTAGGTTATTTCATTCTCTTTATTTCCCTTCCGCCTTTCCGTTCAAGTTACACGCTGCACAGCGGAGTTGGAGAAGTTGCCGCATCTTCTAGGCGAAGTATGAATGAGAATCAGTCAGTGCAGAGCGGAAGAGCACGGTTTCAATTTTCTGGTTTTTCCCCAAGCAATAAATAAACTCAAAGACATGAAAACATTTTTTTTTCAAACAAATTATACCCAAAAGGAAAGAGGCTTGTTGTAAAGCGTTAGCATTTAACTGAGCTTATCTGAGTCTGAACATAAAGTTGGCACTAACTTCGCAGACAAGCGGCGGTAGCTCGGTTGGTATCGTTCGCTTGCGGGCTACAGGTCACGGAATTTATTCTTGTTTTATCTAAGTATGAATAATTCTATGAAGTAGATTACTCTCGATAAACTTATATTCATTGAGCTGCTTACAAATTTAAGCCGTTTATGGAAAAACGAACTTCAGTTCACGTGTTCACAATGAGCCGCCATTGAACCATGCCCCTTGCAACTTGAATCCAGTCGCCAAACTCACATTCTTTTTATTTAAAATCAAATTTAATATTATCCTTTCTTCTATATTTAAGTGCCCCTTCATGCTTTTCTTCTGACAGTGTACGTATCTCTCATCTAGCAGTGCATGCTATGTTTCCTCTTCACTTCTTTGACGTAATAGTATATTCTGAAGTGTATACGTCACAGCCCCTCGTTGGTGTCTCCACCTTATCGTGGTGAGGGTGTTTGAGTATGCCAAGGACCCTGAGAGCTATACCAGCGGTAGCGTAGCTACTGGCAGGGCCTCCCTTGCTGGACAGGTCAAAGGGTAGGCATCAGACGAAGAGAGACACCGAAAACTGATGCCGGAAGCAGCGTCATCAGCGGCGACTTGAAGCACAGAGAAAATGATGCTCGAGATGGTTCAAGTTCGTATAGCAACAGGCGTGACCAGAGTGGTTTGAACGGCTGTTGTACTGCGATGTGGAAAGCAAATGGAAAAACTACCACATTATCACTATTATCGCATTAAGTGGAGAAACTGTTTTGGAAGAGGCTGTGGACCTGTCATCTGACAGATTACTGATGAATGAATGAATACGTCACAGACCTCCTCAGTGGATAACTGTCTGCATCCTCCTGTGAATTTCTCCGTCTTTAGTTCGAACATTCCCTTGCATTATGTTCGCGTTCTCAGACACTCTCCATTCTTCCATTAGGGAGAGACGAAGTTCTTTAATCAAATAATACAACAGACAAATACTTTAGTACACTTTAAACTTCAAATCTGCAGAAAATTAACAGCTACGCTAGCAAGGACCTCAGAAAGAGAGGCCAAGATCTTAGAGTAAGAGGCTGAACGACTGAACCTTATAAGGTTGATGCTGCTCATTATGATAATAATAATGACGATTAAGATGATGTCATCTTTAGATAGGATAAAAGTTCTGAACTGTATTACAGAAACATTCTCGGAATTGTGTCTGCTTCTCACTCTTCATGATACGTTTCCTCGTTCGCAAACGTTTCAATCTTGTCTGACTCAAAACTACGAGTCATACTGAATTATGCTTTATGCACAAAACATTTCTTTTTTACTTATGAAACAAGGAAATAAAAATCATAGCATGTGTCCCTACCAAACCTCTTGGTTCAGGAGATCCCCCTCCAAAAATTGAAAAGCACAGATCCTGAAGCAGACTACTCTTTTCCATCTAGCACCGATGTCTAATATATCTGGAGCTGTATCTCTGCTCCCTATGTCTTTATGTGTAGGGACATTAATAATGTTAATTTATCCTTCTTTTTCTCAGCTCTAGAGTCCTTGGTGGTCTTTGGCTTCTTTCACAATGAGCCGTCATTCAATAACTGTGAAGGCTTCACGTCAAGAGCGTTCTTTTATCGGGATTAAATCTTCAGCCTTAAGTCCAACCCTTAACGAGTGGGACTGGAAGTCTTGAGTTCGGGGTATTCTGCCCCTAGAAGAGCTGTCTTCGCTACTACCTACTACTCAAAGAACCTCTTTTGCCCTTCGCATTTTACAAGTCGTATCAATCATTTTTAGATCGTAAATATACCGTCTGCAATGCAACAATAACAATTTAAAATATTGAACAAGCACTTTTAGTGTATTAAATGTACATATATTTTTAGTGTTTTATATGAGATTGTTGTTGTATTATAAACGGTCTAGTTACGATCTAAAAATGATGCCACAGTGCAACAGGATGCTGAAATAGAGTGTAAGCCATGCCAATATACATCATCTCCGTCTTGCAGTACCTGGTTATAGACTTTCTCTTTACTGTCTTCGGCTGTTATGCTGGAGCCGCTATTTCCTTGAAATAGCTCATCAATTATAAACACGAGGCTGAGTGGACCCCGTTCCAGACCCACTATTTCTCAGAAAGTCTGGTAGCGCCGGGAATCTAGCCCGGGACCTCTGGATCTGTAACCAGGAATTCTGACCACTAGACCACAGAGGCGGTCGAAAGAAAATAGAAAGTATTAATAAAGTGATCAGCTGTTTATGTCGAAGGTATTCAGACCATAATTCAAATTTAAAATAATTTCAAAAGAGTTTTATTTTCTAAAAATGAGCCTATATGTGAAACAAAGTGAAACTCTCTCCGGTTATAAACAAAGTCGTATTCCGTTTGAAATACAGCGACAAAGCACAGATCAGCGTTGTTCATTAATTCCAGAAATCGACCTAATTTCCTTTCATGTGAACTGTGCTACTTTCACGTTGTTCTGCCTCGTCACGTGAATGCAGTAGACCACGACGAGAGATTTTTCCGTTTATCAGCTGCCGATTACAAAATAATGCACAGTGATGCTACAACACAAAACAGATGTACTGTTACAGGATACATTAAGCTCGGTTCCTTCTGCCCAACTAATTTCATTCTCTTCCTGTGGTATTGCATAATCATTCTGAAATTTTTGACAATCATAAGAACGGGCCCGACCATATATTTTTAAAACCTCCAACTAGTCACGTTTCAAGAGGATATATAAATTGATGCACGTCAAGAGTAATGTTAAATAACCTAAGAATCAATCAATTATATTGGTTTTCATCTGCTAAGTACTAGGCTTAGAATTTCGATATTAGTTTACATGAAAAAAATATCTCGCTTGATGGATGTATAATATTCTATGAGACATCCGGACATGAGTTCTTTATTTATGAGGGAGATCATACGCGCACGCACATACGCACAAGCACGCATGCTTTTTGCTTTCTTTGCGCAAACAGAGCATAGACATGTGAAAGCAGAATAGGGAAATTCATGTCCAAAGTTCCTCGATTTTAATCTCCAAATTGCATAAATAGGAGGTAAGGATGGTAGTGGCATGTGAATGAAAATATTAAAGTTAGGCATCACGTGTCATTTTCGTCGATTCGGTTCACTATAAGCGCCATTTTAAGGAAAGTTGAAATTGAAATTCGACACTTGAAGAAAGCTGCTTAGTTCCAACATACGATCGGCATAAAATATGAAGCTCCCACATAATAGCCTAATTCTTGATTAAAATACATTCCTACGAAGTATGAAGCATTTAGCTAACTCAAAAGATCTGTTCTTTTCCAGACTGTTCTATTTTTAATCAGATGCAATATTATGCTTCTTTCCATGTATGCAGCATTTTTATTGCTTCGGTGGATGTTGGAAGTACTTCTGACATCGGCTTGCTAAAGACATCTCTTATTGCAAAACGTGCTTTTGTCTGAGAATACAACATCCAAGAGATTCTTTCCATCAAAGCCATCATTTGTTCATCGTTGCAGTAAAATCTTAAGAGCACCCACAGCATATGCAATCCCTCCATCAGAGGATACAAAGTCCCAGTAATCGGGGGAAATTTGTCGGAGTGTGTAATGGTCTTAAAATATTTTAATATGATAAGTAAAAATTTAAAAATATCATGGGCTTGCACATGTAACTTCAGTAGGTCTTCTTTATGCGATGACAATTCCTCGCCAATCTGAGATTTTGCTTCATATAGAATTTCAAAAATCTGCATCACGCTTGGTGATTTCAGCTGTTCCACTAGAACGCCCAAACCAGCCTTCTTGCCAGTAGTGGTACACTGCCTTCATAAGCTGATAGTCGCCCAGATAATTAAGAAATTCGCCATATCTAAAAAAAAAAGAAAAGGAAGATTCACTCTCACGTTCATAAGAGCCCGCCGCTGGACCCACTTCTGAGCCACATGAGTGCAGACCATTCACTTACATCCCACTGCATTAATATTCCCTTTAATATTATTCTCCCACTTATGTCTAGATCTCCCAAGTGGTCTCGTCCTTTAATATTTTCCGGATGAAATTTTGTGTACGTTTCTTGTTTCTCCCGTACATAATATATAATCTCGTATTCTTTTAAATTTGTTCTCCAACATTATCTTCCGAGGAATATCAATTATATAGCTCATAGTTGTGTAATTCTATCCATTTTCTGACAGAAGTAGGTTAAGAACACGGATCCTGACTCTCGTCGTTACGTCCTTTTCTAATTTCCCTTACCCTGTCAGTTTCCGTTTGTCTGATATTTTGCTCAGGATTCCGGTTACACTCATCGTTCTTGCACCTGAGACTCGGGTGCGGTATGAACACGGATGTACGTACAGGGCTGCAATTTCGGTGTATTTTCTTTTAGAGCATTCTTGTAAGTAGAGGGTGGAGTTGTACTAGAAAGCTGTTTCATCGATTTCTGGAAAGGGGTTGTGGGCGCATGCGTTGTGAGGACATTGTTATCGGCATCGCCTCTTCTTCAATGAGCGCATTCGTGAGCTACGCTTCAAACCATCAGGTTCGCTTCCTGGTTCATCTTCACTGGGCGCTGACCTACACGAGCCTCACAGCTGGTAAGTCTCTTTCACTCTCAGCCTCAGCAATAAAACCACTGGAGGCACAAAACTACATACGTTCGCGTTTAATTATACTGCCCATCGCAAATTATTCAGTCGTAAAAGAGTTGAACGTTTTGAGTGTCATGAAAGTGTGAGAAAGTGATGGTGATTGTGGGGCAAACTTAAGTTAGAACGTATGTTACCATGCTGGAATTTACTGTGTTTCAGACTCATTTTGCACGTAAGAGTGAGGGAGTTGTGTTTTTTCGTATTGTGGTGTCCATCAGCCAGTATACCAGCAAACAACAACAATATGTATAACAATATTGAAACTCATTTCTAATCTTCACATAAAGTTACTGACTAATCATAGGTTTTGTTCAGCCTTTGACAACAAGGGCTGACATAAAGAAGTGCATGTTTTATATTTTATATATACTTCATATACTTGTACATCCTAGTATATATATTCTTGAATACAACTCCTTAATTTTGAGATAAATAATATAACAGACTTTATTAGAGTAATTATATCAAATATGACCATTTTTACACTTTACTAAATTCTAATTGATGAACCACACAATGTAGATAATTTGCTATTTTGAATATGTTTTCTTCACAATAGGTATTTATTTTCAAATTTCTTCTTTTATTCAAGCAGAAATCTTATGTAGACTTTTAACTTCCTGATATATTCTGTAACCATAGAAAATACAGGATAAAACAAGATTATCTCTTTATAGGGTGGTGATCCCCTCCCTGAACGAAATTTATTTCGATATTTGATCCACGAAGTGTAACTAAAGACATGTTTGAATATTGCAATAAACAGTGATTGCTTTAATATTCATAATTAAGCGAGTGGTTTGAGAAAGGGAGTAATTCTTTTTTCGGGCGAACGGGTAGAATATATATATGTCACATGCACGAGTTTCTGAGCCCTAGTTATAAATTATTGGACACTGCTGTTGAAAGACCTCTAGAATTATTATCTTCAGAACACATTTATAATTTAATCAGAAAAATACATTTATGATACAGTTATATTCGTGTGTATGTCCCTTAACATCGTTTAAACTAATTCTCGGTCTTTCAAGTAATTTAGCACGACCAAGTTACTATAGGACAATCAATATATCTACATCATTTTAATACAACAAATTACGCCAACGCTGGGATCTCATGAGTTTGTAATCTCGGAATGACGCCAGCCCCACTTAATGTACTGTAAAGTTACACCGTAAAAACTTTCGAGAACTATGCCTTGCGCATTGTGGCACTTATTGTATAACGTAAAATAAAACATGGTTGTCATGCGAAATACATAGTAGTCTTTCAGTTTGGAGAATATAAATAAGGAACCAATGGGCATGGATAACATATATACCTGCAAATGCGGTATCAAACATTCTTATATGTCGAGAATATTTCAAACATGGAACATGGCTGACATCAAAGTAATAAACCAGCCTCAGAGTGTTTATGTAATATAACTGATCTGATGATAGCTTGAATGACCGAAACATGTTGCAGAGTGAAAATTATATAAATGTATTTAATTTATACATAAATTAAGTCGATGGAACTTAAAATAAGTATTAAAAATGTAAAAATATCCCTGTAACAGGCCGGGGAGGCCCATTGGGTTGTGAGAAGTCGAGACACTCACATTTTTTTTAGACAATCTTCTCACAGATGGAGGTCAGGTTGTCAGCCTTACACGCCGGCCGCCCTTTACCCCCAGGAAGATTGCTGGTACTCATTTCTGTTAGAGTCTGAGTGGACCCCAGGGCCATAGCGTGGCTGGAAGGATTAGGCCAACGGAAAAATCCAATGACCCCATCGGGAATCGAACCTGTGGCCTTCCGGCTTGTAAAATAATGTCTCAGTCAACTACGCTACTACGTGCCTCATATATTAAATAGTTGACACGCAGTATGGAGCTAAGGTACAACATCATTTGGGAAGAAGAGTTAGGGTTTATGGAGATGAATACAACTGACCTCCTGAGACACACTGACAGTGATTCGGTCACTGAGCCGTAGTATAATGCATTTCTGATCATAGATAACAATCATAATTGGTTCTAAAATCTCCATATATTTAATAGAAGATACGTAACTTGTGCAGTTATAATTACCAGAATCAATGTCATTTTCAAAATAATCTCTTTGAAAGAAACAACTCCGAAACGAAAAAAGATTCTCTACGTGGAGCAATTTCAGTACTGACAAAAGAGACCAGATTCTGCGTCGTTTGCGAGAAAGAAGGATTTGCGGATTTGAGAGAGCGTTCCCGTATTTGCGGTACATGCACGAAGAATTTGTGTGAATTACCGTTGAACATAACGGAACAGAATGTGAAAATTTTGGGTTATTTGCCCTGGTATTTTCTTAAAATATTGTCACCGGGGGGGGNGGGGGGTGCGTGATTGATAGACGGGTTTTGGATTGGATGATGTGATTTACTGACCCCTTATACACATACCACTCTGCACTAGAGGCAGTACAGCGCTATCGCTATTCCCACACTTTACGGTTCACCGTTACTCACACGCACTAGGGTTCTCAGCATTCACAAGTCGTATTCTGGCAACGTATTTGAAAACATTCTCACTTTTACTGCAGTACACATGAAGTCTTCTTTGCTCAGTTTAATTCCTTCCTCATTGTTCTTAATCACATTCGGATGCCGTCTTTCTCAAGTCCCAACTGCAACTGTTAACTCCGGAAACTGACTTTACTCTAATTCTTCTGCTTCCAAGCTCATATTTCGGCAGGATGACGTCATGAGACTCAGTTCCCTGCTGCAACTGCTAACTCCGGAATCTGACTCTACTCTAATTCTTCTGCTCCCAAGCTCATATCTCGGCAGGATGGCGTCATGAGACTCAGTTCCCTGCTGCAACTGCTAACTCCGGAATCTGACTCTACTCTAATTCTTCTGCTCCCAAGCTCATATCTCGGCAGGATGGCGTCATGAGACTCAGTTCCCTGCTGCAACTGCTAACTCCGGAATCTGACTCTACTCTAATTCTTCTGCTCCCAAGCTCATATCTCGGCAGGATGGCGTCATGAGACTCAGTTCAATTGTTCTCAACTGAACTCTGCCTTATAACCACTCTGCATGAGGCACGCAGAACACACAGTCTCTCTCTTGTAGGGAAGGCGTGTTTACTACGCATTTGCTTAGAAACATAAGTTACACAACTGTTGCTTGCGTATTCGTTGCCCTGGGAATATGTTACCGATTCGTTGCATAGCAATGAACATCTATTCTGACTTCACTGTTCCGGGTTTCTGGTGTCATGTCTCAATATGTAAAATGTTTAATGCGTATTTGTTTATTCTAATTCTTAAAACAATAACTGCATACCAACTCAATTTACATTCTTCCTGTTTTCTTATTAAGCTTCAATAAAATTTTGCTTCGTCTCTTTAATAAGGTTCACTTCTTTATACATGACCTTATTTGGAACTAATCATGACATATATATCCACTGCTACGCAACGGCCGTTACACACATTCCCGCATAAGCAAATGTGCAGTATAAAAATATGTCTATCGCTAGGCAATGATGAGGTAAATAGTCTTCGTCAAAATATACAGGCTGTTTTCCGTAAGGTCGGTTTGAAGTAGTTCAAAGAGAGTCGGGTTAGTCAGAGGAGAACTGGGTCGAGCTCTGAAGATGGCAGTCGAAGTTGATTGAAAAAAAAATGGCAAGAGAGGAATTAGGTTACCATAAGCAGTTTAGTGTGTGATTTGAAGTGCCAGTGAGATTGTTACAAATCCATTGCCAGGATACGACTAGTGAAGACCTATTATCAGTAATCCCCTACATCGGTAAAATTCTAGCCCAGTGAGTGTGAGGTGGGTTTGCAGTAGACAGTGCCACATTAACACGATTTTCACCCTGCACTTCCTCATATCATTCGTAATTGCAGCACTAGTAATAGTACATCTACTATTCCTACACTAAACAGGCTCAAATAACCAACTAGGATTAAAAAGAAACATAGACAAAATTCCATTCCACCCATCCTTTGTAACCAAAGATATTGTAGGTGCGTGTGTAACTGTAAGCTGGAATGTGTGTAGGATAGCGATAGCACTGTATTACCTGTAGTCCCGAACTGTGTGAATGTATAAGGTGCAATAAATCCAATCATCCAATCCAAAACCCATCTTATAAATCATGCACAATCTCTACACTTTACAATACGTTCTCAATAAGGCCGGGTAACGCTTCATCTTTTTTGTTTTATCCATTAATCAGACATTTTTTAAACTAAAGATTGGTAGCACAATCGAACATCCAACGGCAACAGAGAGGAAACACTCGAAAGAATTTCCCCTTGACATAAAGCAGAACAACAATCAATAACATTAACCGTGGACTTAGTCGGTGGGTGTAACGCAATAATAAAAATGCAGTAAAAATATCTAGAACTCTAGGAATAATGCTTTTCGAATAGAGAGTATGAATGGGTATATTGGAACCCGAGAGAAAGAAATTAACAAGAGACTTAAGAATATAACAGAATGAGGATTTTCATATTTTATTTCTTTGCCTAATATTATTAGGATATCAAGTCAAGAAGGACCATATGGGCATGGGATGTAGAGCCCTTGGAAGGAAAGAGAAATACACCCGAGAATTGGAATGGAAAACCAGAAAGGAAGAGACCATCTATTCTACTATTCTCTGAATCAAATAGTCTTGTGGGTGTCTTGTGAAATCCAACATCCCACAGTATTTCTTCACGAAAAGTACATAACTGTGCCGTTATGAATGTTGTGACACTGGTTTATTGCCTGGGCTGTATACATGTGTCGAGAGCTGACTGCCTGAGACGTACCAACTCTAAGACTAGACACTGAAGCAGATAAGAAGGAGGTTCTCTAAAAGAAGAGGATATAAACTGTCTCACTCTGCATTATTTTACTCGTAACAAGAAATGTTTGTGTTTCTCGTGTTAACACGCAGATGATAACAGTTGTGGCACAACTTC